TGCACACAGAGAGAAACGCGTGCGTGGGAACCAATTCCAAACCCTTACATTCACTCAAGCAACGATCATCAGTCAAACCCAAACACGCACGCACTCATTCTTAATCGCAGTCCTGCTTAACTCTCAATTATGTCCTATGAAGTAGGGCCGTTGCCTGAAAGGTCGATTAATGTTACTTTTAAGCTCTACGCAGTGTTTGACGAACGCGTGGAGTTATTTTAACAGCGAGTGAACGTACCACATCAAATGGCAGTGCGCACCGCGCATTCGTGCGTTTGACTGCCCTCTGCTGCTCGTGGGTGCGATGCCTTGCCTCTGTTCTTGGCTCTGTATCAATGTTTCACGTTGTATATAAACGTAAACCGTGTAAGATGTAGATTTTTTTTTTATTTTGGTGTGATGAGATGTTAACTCCCTCGCCTGGTATGCAGGGGGTCGTGGATTCGATCCCCAACCCGACACCTGCTGCATATTTGGAGATTTTGGTGTCTCTCTTCCCGTGGTCATGTGGGTTATCTCCGGGTCCACCGGTTTTCCCTCCACCTTTATAATTAACATCACGCGTTTAGAGTATTTGGCTGATATATTTTTCCACATGATGTTAAGACACTTCGTTGAGCTTTCATTTATGGCTAGGTAGTTCCTGTTAAAGAGTTACATTGCTCAGTGGGCCTTAACTAAGACAATATAATAAAAATGTAGTATATAATAAAACGTTTTATGTGTCACTTGATACCTTGGACACTCTTGCTATGAGAAGTTCAATGGAGGGACTTTCCAGGTACATCAACATCCTGGGATATCACAACATCGGAAATGAACAAGAAAGCGAACATTACTTAGCACGAGGTTACAAACCTCACGAGACACTCCGTGGAAATGTGCTCAGGTGGTCAAGGTCACAGACACGAGCTTCGTATCGCACGCAGCTGTCTACACGCAACGTGAGACACGTTACACGGTAGGCTTTGACCACTTCCAGACGGGAGCCAGGTCCACTCGCTCCGCTCTCAGTGGGATCTGCGCTCGCCACGACTCTCAGTGGCTTCTCACCGATAGCTGCTCGCTGTGGCTGAGAGACGCTGTCCCTGGAGCCCACACGGCAGCGACGAACTAAGACACGAATCGATTCACCTACGTAGACAGGAGCGTTGCATTTGTAATGCGAGCGTAAATGGGGTTGTTGCTGGCCTCTGGTCCAATCACGCGGCCCGGGGCATTGGGGGCGGAGCCTGGTCTGCAGGGAGTGTGGGAGGGGCGACTGTTCACCTCGGCTCCAATGGGAGGCGAGGTGAATGGGGGCGGAGCCAGCAGGGTAGTATGGGAAGGCCGGATCTGACGATCCGGGAGGCGGGAGTCAGGGTCACGTGGGGGGAATGGATATATGTGGGAGCCCGGAAGAGATCGGGGCAGTCGGGGAAGTTAAGAGTCTGAGCCACGTTGGGTGGTGAGAGAGATCCGCGCCATCGGCCACGTGGCCGAAAGACCTCAGCACGCCGTCGGCCAGCGGTGTGCGGAGTGTGGGAGTAGAGGAGCTAACGGAGGAGCGTGCGTGGCACGCGAGAGAGAGCGTGCGTAGTACGCGAGAGAGAGAGCGTGCGTGGGGCGCGCGCGAGACGACACTGGTCCGAGAGGAGGCCAGTGGGGGTGCGGAGAAGAACCTGAATAAAAGACAAACGGAGACCAGCAGTGCCTGACGGAATCTTTTATTACACATTCACACCGCGGTGTTGGGGTTTACGGGTCGCGATTTATACAAAACTCAGAGTGGCCAGGCAAACGGTGATGGTTTATCCCTTGCACTAATTTTGTCGGCGATGGTGAGGCTCTGTCGGTTTCTGCACCAAACCCTAACTTGTAAATCATTCTTATTAAATAAATTTAAAAAAAGAATGTCGTCTCTATCATTGCCATTATTTTAGCATGACAGTTTAAAATTGCCTTAAAAAATAATCAACTTAATATTTACAAATGATTTCCCAAATGTACGTGTAAATTAGTGGGGGATCAGGTGGGAAGTTGATCGTGTGGGTGGTTGAGCAGGTGTGTGTGTAGGTGGAGATTGATGTAGTGGTTCGTGTGCTGTGCTACGAACCTGCCCACCCAAGTTTGGTTCCCACTCATGACCATTGTCTGAACCGGCCATGGGCCTCCCCTAGGTCGACTCAGCCTCAAATTAGTACCTGGTGCGGAGTTTAAACATCGGCATTCGGGAGACAAATGCGGCCAGGCTTGGTGCTGGCTACCCACCCACTCGTGTGCTGTGCCGGCCATCATAGGTGCTTGCTAACACCACTTCCCCAACAGTCTGTTCAGGCTATACAGGGGATCTTTGCCTTTGTGCGGGTAGGTGTGTGAGTGAGCGAGGGGGTTAGCAGGTGATCAAGTGGGAGGGAGATCAGCCATGAATGGGCGCTTGAATATGCATGAGGTGGACAGGTGGGAGGGTGGACAGACGAGTAGGTGGACGAGTGGGTGGGCAGATGGGAGGGTAGGAGGAACGGGTGGCAGGGTGGGTCGGTGTATGGCCGAGCAGGTGTGAGTGTGGGCACGTGGGAGTGAGGGACTCTGTAGATGGCTGGGTGAGTCGTGGGTTATGGAGTGGCAGATGTCGGGTAGGAGAGTGTTGGGTGAAGGTGAGTAGGTGGTGGTCATCATTTCCAAGCGTAGTCAATGTTTTTATCATCATCATGCTCTTCATCATCATCATTCATCAGTCAGGATCCATTCATCATCATAGATCACTGTGACGAGGAACAAGCAACCCGACTGAGAGTGCAGCTATAAATACCAAGAGACACGCCATGGAATGTGGCCCTAGGCTACAGACAGCACTTAAATGTGAAGATTTACAAACCGTGCCGGGTTTAGTCTCAGATAATATAACATCTATACAAACAAAATAACAATTACCATCTAAAACATGCGTGTTGACACAATTTAGTCAGGCTCAGCTCTGAGACGGACATTCACAGCCTTGATGACAATCTTTAAAATAGATTTTCAGATTTTTTTATTCACCCAGAATACAATGACCCTTGACCAACAACACAATGCGATTCCAATTCACAGGTAACCCAGAACACAAGTCTATTTATATTTACGCGATCTAACCTAAGAAACCTTTATTATTGATAATATTGGTCGCGAAAGCCTACGTGTTAAAGTCGATTTGTATAACCAGGTGAGAACTCAAGAGACCAGGATGAGTCTCGGTTGCAAGAATTATGATGTTGCTTCTGCTACGGATGATGATTGCAATATTATTATTGATGCTTCTGGTCCTACTTCTGATGCTGATGATGATAATGATGGAGCTGCTGATGCTGTTGCTTCTGTCACTAATTCTGCTGATGATGCTATTTCTGCTGATGATCGAGTGGAGTTTAATTTGAGATTAACGAGGTGAGAACTCAGGAGATCAGGATGAGTTTCATTGAAAAGAGTTACCCGGGTCACAAAATGAAAACGCAAAACAAGTCAAACCCATGCCAGCAATGAAGAAAATATAAATCTCCCTCACAGCCCAGACCACAATGCGATTATCGTTCACACAATTACACAACTGGTGCGTTAAAATCAATGTGTCTCAAATCATCTACGCGTCGCTAAACAGCCTGAAACTCGAGGTTGGGTTCACACCAGATTGTTTTCTCACGTTAGGGAGGGACGCCGCGGTGGCTAGGAGATGTTAACTCCCTCGCCTGGTATGCAGGAGGTCGACGGCTGCTGAATATTTGGAGTTTGCAGTGTCTCCATTTAATAACACAAAAGACAATTCCCATTTTTGTCGGCAGTGGGAGGCGTTTTCCCAATAAATTAAGGTTATGGCTGCAGTTACAAGTCTAAGTCAGAGAGCAGATAATTACAATATTTATCAAAGCAAACCTTAATTATGAATAATATTGGTGGCAAAAGACCTCCTCCTACTACAAAGTGTGGCTTCTCACTCTCTATGCCCTGTAAATAAAACTAGTTTGGGTTGGGGGTGAGGAGGGAGTCGCTCGACTCCTGGTTATAACAAAAATGTTATAAGCCCAGCAACGCTCGCCACACACCACGAGTAGTTCCCCCCTAGTGATGCCATCTCATTCCCACTTCGGGTTTATCGCCGAACAAGCGAGTGACCGCGAGGGGACTGCGCGTGTCACACCACGTAGCGTCACGTGACGCGTGTTCCCAGCACGCCCGCGGTGGAGCTCCGCCCTCTCGGCGTTGAGCGCCACGCGGCGCGTGGTGCGAGGGACGATGGGGTCAGAGAGAACCATGGCTCCCCCCACTCCCCCCCACCCCCCACCAGTGCGCTAACCACTGCACCACCACTCCACCCCACACTACACACATGCCCCTCTATACACTAAAGACAAAGATCGCCCGTGTAGCCATAACAGACTGTTGGGGCAAGTGCTGTAAGAAGTGAATAACAACTTTCAAGGCCGGCACTGTGGCACACGAGGGGGTGGGTGGCAAGCACCATGTCCAGACATACACAAAGACAAAGACACACACGGACACAAAGACACAGACACAATAACAAACACACGAAGAAAAGCATACACACACCAACCCACCCACCCAAAGACAAAATTCCCCGGTGTAGTCTTAACAGACTGTTGGGGCAAGTGCTGTTAGCGACCACCTAGGAAGGCCGGCACGGCACACGAGTGGATGGGTGGCCAGCACCAATCCCTGCCGCCTTTGTCTCCCCAGTGGCGATGTTGACACACCGCAGCAGGTACTCATTTGAGGCTCAGTCGACCTAGGGGAGACCCAGGACCGAATTGGATAATCGTCACTAGTGTTGGTGAACCAGTCATGGGCCACCCCTAGGTCGACTCAGCCTCAAATGAGTTCCTGGTGCGGTGTGTAAACATCACCACTGGTGAGACAAAGGTAGCCACGCGTGATGTTAGCCATCCAACACTCGAGTGCCGTGCCGGCCTTCATATGTGCTCTCTACCAGCACTTGCCCCAACAGCCTGTTAAGGCTACACGGGGGATCTGTGTCTTTGTGGCACGAGTCTGTGCGTTGTGCCCGTTTCTCTGCGCTGCTCACACTCCGTGCTCTCAGGACGCACGACTCAGGTCCAGAATCTTCACGGAGTCACCATCATCACCATACACATACAGTCCAGGGTAGAGCGGTTGACAAAACGAGTGGTGAATGGAGTGCAGCAGCTCCATTGAGTCAGCACTGTAAAACGACAGCAGCCCCGCCTCCCAGTTCAGGTGACACCCGACTCTCCGGGGAGGATCCCTCACCGGCACTGAGGTCGCTACACCACTATGCCACACATAGCAGCTGTTGTTATTTTTACATAAAACCCAGGATGAGTCGTTTTGTCCCAGGCTGCACTCGTCACCATGCCCTTCCCGTGCGATCGTCCTGTACGCGACTCCAACGTCCCAGTCCCCCGCCGCACCCCCCCACGTCCACCTCCCAGTAGTGCTGACCCGACGAGAAGCTCTCGGAGCACAGGGCTTGTGTATAGACATCAAAGCGGTGTGGGTGATCGGGGCGATCCTGGGAGACAGCGGTCAGCGTCACCGTCCTGAGACTAGAGGAAATCTGGAGGTAGTTGTGGGCCGAGTTTGGGTCCAGAGTCGGTGAGCGTCCGTCTGCAGTAACGATAATCACAGTAGCCGTGTAACAGCAGCACAACTATAACAATAGCACTCGTGCACTAACACGCACGTACACTACAATAGAGCAATTCATAACGAGCATTGTTATACAACGTTGTAATGCGTAGCTATCGGTGTGATGACATGTAACGGGCACTTTGTCAATCCACTGCTGGATGAGGGCCTCCCTACACCGTAGGGGTCGTGGGGGATATTTTACCATACTTCGCCATGCCGGTCAACACGTGTTGGCGAAGACAGGTGGCACAGCTGGAGAGAGCACAGAACTACAGTACAGCGGTGCGTTTGTCTGCACTGCCGTCTGCTGCCCACTACGTAGCCCCACAGCCTATAGCACCTGCTACGCACGGTGGTGGCCGCCCGTGTGATCCCTACCCAGGCCCACCTCCTGCTGGGCTTTGCGAGATGGGAGGAGGTGGGGCGCTCTGTGCGGTAGCGCCCGTGGGTGGCAGTGAATCGCAGCAGCAGCGTGAATATCAACACCGCCGTAGCGTCTCTGTGTGTGTACAACAAATACAAAGATCTCGCATATAACCTTTCACAGACTGTAGGAGCAAGTGATTTTAGTGTGCACACGAGGGGGTGAGTTGCCAGCACCACGTCAGGCCGCCGTTGTCTCACCAGTGGTGATGTTTACACACCACACCAGGTACTCATTTGAGGGTGAGTCGACCTACGGGAGGTCCAGGACCAGTTCAGATAACCCATCACTGGTGTTGGCCTTGAGCAGGATTCACATTCGGGACGCCAGGTTCGAGGAGTAATATGAGGATATATCCGGCTCACTGACGTATCACAACTCGTCATGATGATTGGCTCTGCCGGTCCTGGTCTATAGCCAATGGGGGGAAGCCTAGGGGCGTGGCCCTGACGTAATGGAAAAGTGACAGCTGTAAGTAGAAAATTGGTTCTGCTGGCTTTGGCCACAGCCAATGGGGAGATGAGTCGGGGGCGTTGTCCCGGGAGCCTACGAGGGAGCCTGGAATTATCCATGGAGGCTAACCATGATTGGTGGAAACGCACCACGTGACCCGGGTATTAAATAGGGGTGGAGACGAACGACACGGGGTCAGAACGGGAACGAACGGAGGAAGGGACCACACGTGAACGGGACTCCGGGTTGCCACGTGGCGGCGCGTCTCTCTCTCTATCCCTCTCACGCTGCCTTTCAGCAGCGTGAAGGAAAGCTGTAATGCAAGTTGAATAAAAGACCGGATTCCAGAAGTCGCCTCAATGACCTTTATAAACATTGGTGTCAGAAGTATCTCTTGAGACCGTTTGGACGATTCCTCTAAAATGTCCAAGCACCTCAAGAAGAGAAACCCACCGGACCCTCCGTCGGAGGAAGAGGTTGAGGCAGATGAGGACGAGCTGCTGGGAGCTGCGGGTCCTCTGCCTCCGGCTGCTGCTCTCCCCGACGCTGCTCATTGCCGACAGGCTTGCGAAGCGACGTCTTTGACTGCGGACGAGGGGTGGCGTTGACTGGCGGAGCAGATTGAATCGCTCCGTGCGATTTTGCTGAATCTGGTGACTGCGGTCGCATCTTCAGCGGCCCTCGGTCGGCCGCTTGGAATTCAGCCAAGGGCCGATAGTCAGGATTTTCAGCGGAAAACGACGTCCGCCATTTGCTCCTGCCGCGGAGGGAGAGGCCTCCATCTTGGGCGGGGCTGCTGCAATGAAGCCGCCAGACGCCATCCTGGGAGGGGCTGCCGAAACGCGGCCGCCGGACGCCATCTTGAGCAGGGCTCCCGCCACACGGCCGCCGGACGCCATTTTGACAGAGCCGCAAAATACGCGGGGAGCAAGATTGGAGACGCTCGAGGTGTCGGACATTCACAGCGGACATCGCCTTCCTAAAATCAAAGAATTTGTCGCCAGGGGCGATTGGAGTGGGTTCACGTGGCGGTTCAAGTCAGCCTTTCGGTCGGTGCGATGGACGGAGGCGGAGGCACTGGAGGCTCTGCCCACGCTGCTGGATGATGTCTCCTTGGCGGTCTTCCGATCCATCCCGGCGAGCAAGAAGAAGACGCTGCGTGACGCTTTCACGGAAATGGCAGAGTTCTACGAACCGCCGATGGCGGCTACCAGAAAATTTATGTCACGTCGTTGAGGACCAGAGGAATCGCCCTTGGTTTACCAAGGGGCACTGTTAGCCCTTGCCATGGCCGCCTACCCCGACTCGTCAGCTGATCTTCTGGATCCTCTCATCCTTTCCAGAATGATTGAGCTGGCCCAGGTACTGAACATCTCGTTGCCGGTGTGCGGCCACGAACCGCTTGCGTCTCGATGGGCGGCGCGCTGCTTGGACGCCAAGTTCAACCTAAAACGCTGGGATCAGATGGCGGCATGGACGGGGAATCCTGAAATAGACGGTCCACCGTTGGGGTGGTCTCCACGTCAGGTCATCCACGGCTCCAATGACTCCAGCGATGATGAGGTGATGGCTGCTGTTCCTCGCTGGATCCCGAAACGCCGGCCGCGCGAGCAGCGTGATGGGGCCGGACGACCACGTGCAGGGACCGGGACGAGCAACTGCCGGGCGACGGCGGCCACGTACTTTAAGTGTGGCCGACGAGGCCATTTCGCCCGGGATTGCCGCTGCCGACCTCAGCCTTGTCAGCTCCCGTCGGGCCGGCTTCCATCTCCTGCACCGGACGCGGATCAACGGCACCCTCGGGCAAGTCGGCACACATCGAACACCCGGCAGGTCTTGTCACATCACCCATCCACTCGCACACATGTTTGCACTCCGGACGGTAAATGTGGTGAACCTGTGTCGATGCCGCACTCTGCGACACAATGGAAAAAATTGGCCCGTAGGGTGGTAGCAGCCGCGTCGGGGTCCTCGACGGTACGGGGTACCATCGATGGGATCGATGTTCGTATTTTGGTGGATACTGGCGCATCTGCCACCATCATTTCCAATGTTATTTTTCATCTCCTGTCCATTCCTACGTCACAGATCCGACCGGCTAATGATGCGTGCGTTGCTGCTAATGGGGGTAGCATGGGTATTTTGGGGCGAGTTGATGTGCGCATTGCTATAGGGAATATCACCGCGGAGGGACCAGTTTTGATCTCACGTTCACTGGCCGTCTCATGCCTATTAGGCACCGATTTCTTGCGCCGCATGCCAGTTAAAATACTCGTCGACCAAGGTTGCTTGGAAATGCCAGGGGGCCAGTAGGATGTCGTTCCTGCCGTCCCTGCTGGGCCGTTCGCCCCCAGGTAATGCTGTTAACGCGATTGTTGCTGCCACGGTGGAGGTTCCGTCGGGCTCGCAAATACTTGTTCTTCTGCGGACGGTGCGACGGGTGTGCTGTTGTCCCCGTCTTTCTTTCGGCCTGGTCAGGCCCCGTTTATACAAGTGTTAAATGGGGGCCTGGACCGGGTCGTCATCCCAGCTGGCTCGGTATTGGCTCACGCTATTACCGATTTCACCAGCTTTGAGGGTGAACCACCCACAAAAATGGCCGCTGGTGGGCCACGATACGATCGTTCAGACGATCGATGGATCGCAGATTTGTGCAGGGAAAATACATCTTTGTCAGCCATGCAGCGGAGCGCCTTGCATTCATTATTATCGGAGTACGCTGACGTTTTCAGTAAAAACGATTTGGATCTGGGTCATACCTCGCTCTTGTCGCACCATATCGACACCGGTGCGGCGGGACCGATTTGTATGCACCCGCATGGCATGAGCCCTGCTGAATAGGAACACGTGAGTGGCGTGGTGAACAACATGTTGGCGGCCGATATAATTTCACCATCCAACAGTCCTTGGGGCACGCCGGTGGTGCTGGTTAAGAAAAAGGATGGTGGGACGAGGTTTTGTGTGGATTTCCGCCGATTGAATAAGATATCCGTGGCAGACGCATACCCCTTGCCACGGATGGACGACTCGTTGGACGCTTTATCAGGGGCAAATTTTTTCTCCACCCTCGACCTGTCGTCTGGGTTTTGGCAGCTTCCCCTCGATGACGCGTCCAAACCAAAAACGGCGTTCCGCACGCCACAAGGCCTCTTTAAGTTTAACCGCTTACCTATGGGCTTGAATGTGGCACCGGCGACGTTCCAACACCTAATGGAACTGGTGCTAGCGGGGCTGCAGTGGGAAACGTGCCTCATATATTTGGACGATATCATTGTATTCAGCCGCACGTTCGAAGAACACCTCCAACGACTGGAGACTATTTTTCAGAGGATGCGCTCAGCTGACCTAAAATTTAAACCAAAGAAGTGCCACCTTTTGCAACGGTCCATCTGATACTTGGGTCACATCGTCAGCTCTGACGGTGTGTCCACGGACCCTCCGAAAACGGCGTATCCGAGAGTGGCCCACGCCCACTTCGGTGGGCGACGTATGGCAGTTTATTGGGTTCACATCCTACTATCGCCGTTTTGTTAAGAACTTCGCGACGCTGGCTAAGCCACTGCATGTTCTGACGGGGAAAAATCAGAGATTTAAATGGGGCCCGGAAGAGGAGCGCTCTTTTCAAACTCTTCAGGATCATTTGGCCACCGCGCCGACGCTCGACTACCCGGACTTTTCCCAGCTGTTCATCCTTGACACGGATGCTAGCGACATCGGCATAGGAGCTGTTTTGTCACAGTGGAAAGACGGGGTCGAGCGAGTGGTGGAATACGGCAGCAGGGTTCTGTCCCTTGCCGAGACGCGATATTGCGTGACACAACGAGAACTGCTAGCTATCGTACATTTTGTTCGCCAGTACCAGCCGTACTTGTATGGACGGAAATTCCTCGTATGCACCGACTACGCTGCCTTGCAATATTCTTTGAAATTGGAACAACCGTCTGGTCAATTGGCTCGGTGGTTGGAATCGTTACAAGAATTTTCCTTCAATATCACATACCGCAAGGGTACTCGCCATGGCAACGCGGACGCTCTCTCCAGGTTGCCCCCGACTCCTCCCTGCGCCTGTCTGACGGGTATGCACTGCTGTGTGGTGCTGCCTACCTCGCCCTGTCCGGTTATGGAGGCGTTTTCGAATGATGAAGCTCAGGATGTACCTGTTGGCGCCGACGATACGCTGCATTTGCCGCACTCGGTGTGGCTACGTGAGCAGGAGGCTGATGCCTCTCTTGCACCACTGCGGGAACTGATCGGGAAACCGAGATCTCATTTGGCTGGATAAAAATGGCAGATGTTTTGGGGCCAGGCAGGATTGCTGATGTGTACGGATGGATTATCTGACCATTCACGTCTGGTTGTGCCGACATCCCTGCCTCACGATCTAGTCCGCGCTCTGCACGCCGACAAGCTGATGCACCTCGGCATGCAGAACACATTGGCTGCGTTGCAACAGGATTTTTTTTGGCCTGGCATGACTGCAGACGTCACAAACTTTATCCGGTCATGCCATGATTGTGGAAGGCAGAAACCGCCTCGTCAAAATTATATCCCGCCACTACGTTCGATCGAGGTGTCCCGTATTAATGAGCTAGTTGCTCTGGACATCCTGGGCCCGTTCCCTCCATCGGCTAGGGGAAATAAATACCTCTTGGTCGGGGTCGAGTATTTTTCTCGCTGGCCTATGGCCTGGCCTTTGCCTGACCAAACGGCCTCATCCATCACCGACGCTTTCTTGAATGGATACGTCATGGATAAAGGAGCACCCGAAGGGCTGCTCACGGATCAAGGACATAAATTCTCCTCCAAATTGCTCAAGGATGTATGCTCTGCGTTGGGTACAAAGAAAATCCGCACTTCCCCTTACCATCCGCAAACGGATGGCATGGTGGAACGATTTAACCGCACCCTTTCGACCATGCTTTGTCACACGGTGAGTGAAAAACAAACCGATTGGGACTTGCACATACCGGGCGTCCTGGCGGCATACCGCATGGTTCCGCACGTGTCCACAGGATATTCGACATTTTTCCTCATGTATGGCCATGAGAATGTACCCCCGATTGATGTGCAACTGGGTGCAGGGGGGAAACAACCGTCCCCTTCCTTGCCTGATCACGTACGGGACTCGCTTAAACGTGTTATGGAGGCGCGAGAGGCCGCCAGATGTGCGACGGCCCGTACGCAGGCAAGGAACGAGAGGTATGCGCGTCGATTGCGAACTGATATGCCTTGGTCAGTGGGCGATATGGCATGGCTCCATTGCCCTCAGGTGCCAGTGGGTACGTCCCCTAAACTGCACAAGCCTTGGTGGGGGCCTGTGAGGCTGGTGGACATTCGGAATCCCTAGAGTGTTCGCATCCAGTACGGCCAACGTCGTTAGTTTGTCCATTCGTCGTGGCTCAGGCCCTACGTTGACCCGCGTGCTGGCCCTTCATCTCCACTTGTTAACCTGCCGGGGTCTGGCGTGCCGAATGTGCCACTTGCCTCGCCCGTTGATCCCCAGTGGGGCTGTGTTATACCCCCCGCAGATGAACAGGTTTTGAGGGACGACGAGACCCCGGACGTCCCTCCTCCAACGGGGCCTGTCCCAGATACAACGGAAACCGAAAATTCTTCTTCTCCATGGCAACCACCTCCTGCTGAACAGTCGGCAAGGCAACCACGCGTGAAGAAAGGAGAGGGTCCGGCGTCACGCACGCGGTCGAAATCTCTCCCGTTTCGCTAATATTGATTGCCTTGCGGTCTGTCACCCTGTTGTTACTCCGCTACAGGGGCGCCCTAATGTATATCTGTTGTTAAATGTTTTGAATTCCTCGGCCCGTTGACGCCTACTCCCCCCTTACCTTGTTAATGCGTCTTAGACGCCCTGAGATGTATTCTAATGGAGTTCGGCCTGTCACCCTTTTCCCACGGCTGACTTTTTACACCGGGGGGGGGGGGGGGGGTGATGTAATGTGAGGATATATCCGGCTCACTGACGTATCACAACTCGTCATGATGATTGGCTCTGCCGGTCCTGGTCTATAGCCAATGGGGGGAAGCCTAGGGGCGTGGCCCTGACGTAATGGAAAGATGACAGCTGTAAGTAGAGGATTGGTTCAGCTGGCTTTGGCCACAGCCAATGGGGAGATGAGTCGGGGGCGTGGTCCCGGGAGCCTACGAGGGAGTCTGGAATATTCCATGGAGGCTAACCATGATTGGTGGAAACGTACCACGTGACCCGGGTATTAAATAGGGGTGGAGACGAATGACACGGGTTCAGAACGGGAACGAACGGAGGAAGGAGCCATGCATGAGCGGGGCTCCGGGTTGCCACGTGGCGGCTCGTCTCTCTCTCTATCCCTCTCACGCTGCCTGTCAGCAGCGTGAAGGAAAGCTGTAATGCAAGTTGAATAAAAGACCTGATTCCAGAAGTCCCTCAACGACCTTTATTACAGTAGCAAAGCTCACTAAGCACTACACTACCGCTCTGCAACATACATGTACAAGCACAATTACGTGCACAATAACAGATGCAAACGTAGCAAGAGTCCATGGAACTCACACATGAATGCCAGAAGGTTGACCACAGCTCCCTGCAGGGCGCTGATCGAGGCGATGTCTTCTTCACTGGGAGATGAGGGTGGCGATCCCTTCTGAGCGTCTCTTCTGTGAGACCAGAACCAGCAGTGACTCACACAGCCCGTGTCTTACACAACATCATCACACAGCATCATCACATACAGCATCATAACACAGCATCATCACACAACATCATCACACGCAGCATCATCACTCACAGCAGCATCACACAGCCCTGTCTTACCAAGCATTATCTTATGAAACACAAGAATAAGGTTTGCCCTTTCTGGCAATAAACTAGGTGCTCTGATGTTCAAACACCAAATAGAAACCTTTTTGTAAGGAATCAAATCTGCATTAACCACACCTACTTGCGGTGAACATGCAAACAAACATGATCTGATCATTATATATGATGCAATGCCTTTGAAATTAATTGGCCTAGAACAGAGACAGACTTCTTTATGGCCTAGTCTCACCAGTGTTAGACCAGAGAACGCCAAAAGGCGAACAGTGAACATGTTTGTTTGCAGGTTCATCACAAGTACCTGTGGTGAATGTAGACTTGATTCCTTGTCAAAGGTATCTATTGCTGTTTTAACATCTTAACACCTGTTTAATTGCCAGAAAGGGTAACACCTCTTCTTATTTTTCATACTATGATACTGGCAAAAAGGTCCCATAATACACTAACATCTCACGCAGCATCATACCACACATTATCATCATTACGCACAACATCATCACCCAGCATCAACATACACCATCACTCACAGGATCATACCCCACATCATCATCACACACATCATCATCACAAAGCCCATGTCCCACACACGACGTCACCCCGTGTCGATTTAAAGCTTTCGTGACTGCAGGGATTCATCTTCTTGGTTCTTTCGGTAAAGTCACGTAGAAGGGAAATAAAATAATAATAAAACAGAATTAAATACAATTCTCACGATGTTTCGGCCACAACGCAAGCAGCCGTCCTCAGGTGAAGAACATTTCACAAGTAGTGACTAATCCCATATCTGCATTTACTATAAATATGCTAAATTCCTCTGCTGATATGCAAATTCCTTTGTCAAGGCGCCCTCCTCCTCTAACCCAGCTTAAATATGCGCTGCCAAGCCGGGTGGTGTTCATTCAGACGCTGTCTTTCCGACAGCCCTGTTCTTCACCTGAGGACAGCTGCTTGCGTTGTGGCCGAAACGTCGTGAGAATGGTATTTTATTATGTTTATTTTTAATATTTTATCATTTCCCTTCTACGTGACTTTACCGAAAGAACCAAGAAGGTCACCCCGTGTGTTCATCTGTGTGACTTCATGAGTTCATACCGGGTAGTATCCTTCAGGTGAACCTGCGGGAGTCAGACACAGGGCAGGGGGCGCGAGTCAGTTCACCTCCAGCCACGTTAACCACACGGTGATTGGTAGACGCGATAAGCTGGGCTGTGCTCAGCCATTCGCATATCCCAGTATTGTTGGTTGTAAACAAGACAAAGCCGCGGACTCGTCCGGACTCGATGGTTCTCATCAGCAAGGTGTGGCCTCTCAAACCGTTGCCACTCGGTACCTGATGTCAAGGGCAAGAGGAGTCAGTGGTACTCAATATCGCAGTGATTGTGAACCAACATTCAAAATAAGTACGCACTGTGAGGGTGAATTACACCCAGAGCGTTGCGTTAGCAGAGTCGATAGTTTAACAGGATGAACATTTGTTGAAGCAGGCAATCTCCGCATGGGACTCGTCAGAAGTCAGTGCTGAAAAAAATCCCCTTGGAATTACTGAAATTAAAAGCACTTCTATTTTCAGCATAACCTTTGGTTATATGAATAATTAAAATGTAGTGTCAAGTAGCCTAAGTCTATTGTATATTATAGGACTATACCGTTACAGTTTTAAATGACAACGTCTGCATACATTACCAACCAATTAACTCGAGGGTTAGTCGTTCATTTATTAATTGGAATTTCAGCAGTAATTTATATTTGTATCAGGATATACAAATCCACGTTGGTGAACTTCATTCTCAATTTAATTTCAGAACGCATGGGCTATACATTGCATTGACAATGCAAGATGCGTTATTCTGTGCATTGAGTTGCATCGCATGTGCTGCGTTTAAAAAAATGCAGCGAATATACACGAACTGGGGCACTCGACCTGGCTCTGTTAGCTCTCTACCTGCAGGAACGTGAGCAAGTCCCTCTCCTCTTGTAGAGCGCGCAGGCGCGTGGCTGCTGCCTGGAGGTCGCTGATCTCGCGCTCGTAATGAGAGATGTTTTCCTCGATCTGGGACAGCAGCTCGCGCCCCTTCATGTCCACGTGGTTCAGAGCTGCCCTCTCGTCCTCATCCAGCGTCGCCCTCATGTGGGTGAACTCGTCTGAGATGCGAGCCTTGGACTGGACCATGGAATCCTGCAAGGCGCGTGCGATAGATTCTATCAACTCATATACCATTCTGTAAAGACCAAAGTCACATTGTTTTCTGGATACTCAAACCTAGTTTTCCCTGCCTCAACATTGTCGTTGGACTCTCATTGAACAGGTCAATAACTTAAAGTATCTAGGTGTTATCTTGTTCTTCACATTGATCATATGACCAGTAATGATATAGTCCAAACTGCCATCCTCCCCATCTTTGACGCCTGTAAAATCATCGACCGCCTAGCCTCTTGTTCCATTATACCACCTGGCCGCCAACTTTGACCTTGATGCCTCTGTATCACCTCTAATTTGTCCCCCCTGGATACCTTCATCCTTAACGTCCTTTTGAACAAAACTGCCAAATATGCGTAAAACAGTACAGGGGACTAGCGGTCACAGGGGGTAATGACAAGGAAATTAGCAAAGGAAGAGACTTTGGGGCCACAAAGGGTAATGACAGGTTAATTGACATAGTGGGCACAGGGGGTAATGACAGGGGATTTAGCAGGGCAAGAGACTAGGGGCCACAGGAGGTAATGGCGGGTTAATGGACAGACAGGGAAACGATCTGGGGTCTACGAGAATGATCTAGTATAGGGGCTGTGGCCAAGTGATAGAAGGGAGCGGGTGTGGATCAGGGGCTGAGAACCATAGAGAAGGTTCTAGAGAAGGGTCGTGGCCAAGGGTCAAGGGATGGCCACGCTGGGCATAAAAGGGGTCGAGAGGAGAGGCTCGAGGCTGCTGTTGGAGTCAGGGTCTTCGCCTGTCACGTGAACGTGTCGTCAATACATATCATCACAAGAGCAATGTCTCCTGGAGCCGTTACATATGTAGGGACCTTAAAACTCCGCAAATTCCAAGTCACAACTTCAAAATTATTTCGCTAGTCATTAAAAAAAATCCATCATTAAAACTTCCATGCTGCTGCTACTACCTCACATTACTGGAATGTACTTGCCTCTCACCATAGGCTGGGCTTCCTCCCCACCCTCCAAACGATTAGAGAGCTGCATGATGAGTGAGATATGAACCAGTTCTGGATTTTACCTTCAGCAATTCGCACTGATCCACACCACTAAGTATGGCCAACTAGCCTCAATGATCAACACGATGTGGGGAAGCCTTCATCCAGAAGTGTATTGGTGAGGATCTGTAAATTATTTACAAAATATAGAAGCTGTGATGCCGCCGCTGCGAAGCCGCTCGGCGGGCGCCCCATCTACGACCTCGCCACCACCAAGCGACAAGGCCGACCCCGCTTCCCCCTCACCGCTCCCCACATAAACACACCCTCACACATTTCCCTCCATAGAGCTCCGAGGAGAGGCCCCCTGGCCAGCAGGTTTTCACCCGAAAGCCCTCGTAGGGATAATCTTTACGATTTCCTGCGGCCAGGGAATTGGACGACCTCCCCCGATGCTAATTCGCACCGCGGCGCTGTGACCTGGGTTGAGATTGCATGGTCACGGCGGAGAGCTGTCCAGCCACCACGGTTGAAACGCACCCCCCGCACACACGTATCGGCAAGGCAGGCAGGGGTCCGCAGCTACGAACAGAGGGAGAAGCCGGGAGGGGCGGCTGATTGGCATAACGGGTGTACTCGGGGACCGCCGCCGCGCGGCCGCCTACGGCGAGCCCTTTGTTACGGAAACCGCGGCTGATTAGCATAGCAAAGGCACCCGGGGGCCACCGCCGGCGCCGCGGCCAGCGTGCGCCCATTGTTAGGGAAACCGGGAAGGCGAATGAACGAGTACGGCGACCTGATTGGCCGAGAAGGCGCTCGGGTCGGCGTCCTTTGATGTAGGTTAAGGATAAGAGGGGGGCGCAGAGAGGTGAACCGGTCTCTTGCTCATAAAGTGAGCCCTCGGGACGGTCTACAGTTCGGCCACTCGAGCGTCCGTGCGACGCATCGAGTTGAGCAGGGAGGACGAGCTCGCCGGAGTGCCGTACGCGCCGAACTGTGAGTAAGAAAAAGAGGGAAACAGAGTATGGAGATTTAGCCTATCAACTTGGATAAATCGGGTACAGACCCTTGGGCGATAGTGTAGGCCTGCCTTGCTGATCCATACTGCCCCAACAGTGAATCACAGTCGGCCGATAATAAATCATTAATAACCCATCGCAGCCTCGTGTGGTTTGGACGAGAGGGTGAGAGCGCGTGGTGCGGTGTGCGTGTGTGCGCTCGTAACGGGGGCGGTCGGTGTTTCCACGAGGGCACGCTCCGTTCTGTCGCCGTGGAGACTCGTGCTGTGTGAGGGCTCACACCCACCGTAAACACCTGTTCCACGGTCCCTTTAAACGAGCGTTATCACCCGCTCGCGGCGGCCGCGCGTGTACGAGCAACGTCATTCGCCCTCCGACCCCTGACCCCCCGTTCAGAGCGTGTGATTGCTGCGCAGGGCTGTGTGAGGGAAGGCACGCAAAGGGTGTTTGAATGGACAAAGTAGCTAAGGGGCCAGCCGAGAGTTATGTCTCACAGAGAGGAATCGGGGGGCAGTAGCCCCCACAAAGCACACAAGTCACCTTCCTCATAGACCTGTCTCTCCACATCAACAATACACGTGTAGTAAGTTGCAAGAGGCTTGAACGACGGGGTCGGAGGCACACTTATTTATTAATACCAACTTGTGCACAGTAACGGGTACACACAGCACTTGAAGGGGTATCATCCCCTTCACTCGTCTAACAGGGAGACACAATGTCTAACCCCGCTAACCTACGCCCGAGTCCTCCACTACGGAGCTAGGGGAGGCTACCTATCCCAGCCCTGGTCAAGCTGGGATCCCGGCACCCTGAGTCTCCAGACCGGCTCTTATAAGAACGTCAGTCTGGGCTCTCGGGGCCACGCCACCGGCTTGCCCTGGTCGGCCCTGACAAGGACAGCGAACAAGGGGAGCTCCGGGGCCTATTCTAGCTGGTCTTCACTCTTCGCTGGTTAAAGCTAATACTCGACCTCGAGCCCTCCGGCTCACCACCTTTTATAGCACTCGGCCCCTGGGAGGGGCCAGTGGGGGATGCAGGTGCGGACGTCGGTGTGAGCATCTCCTCTGTGTACGGCCCTAACCACGCCCCTTGTGTTTGTTACCCATCCGTGCCCATACATCTACACAATTACACCTCTACATCACCCCCCCCCCTGTATAGCTCGCAGCCGTCCCCGGCTGCAACAAAATCACAATAAAGGTGCATCCCCCCCCAAAACCGTGTGTGCCTCGCGTAATTTTAACAAGAACAACAACAATAACAACAGGAAACAGAAAAAACAACCCGACGCACCCCCCCTGAATAAATACCCCATTCCGCAAAACCAACATATATACACGCACTCCGGACGCCCCCCCCCCCTTCTTCTGCAAGGGCCCCCCAACGGCCGACCTCACAAAAGTCTGCGCGTTTTGGCGCGCGTTCTCGCGGCGGGCCCGTCACAAGGGTCCGCCCCGGCTTGCCCAGTGGCGGGTGTCGACAGTCCGGGTGCGAGAGTGTCCGGCTTCGCTGCTGAGTGACCCCCGACCCCCCCGAGAGGGGTTGGCGGTCGTGGACCTGTCACTCCTGGAGCACCTTGAGATGGAACAGTCGTGTCAGGTTAGGCGAAAGCAGCGAAGCCGGGGAGTCGGCGGACCCCTCACACGTTTGGCCATGCGTGTGTGTGTGAGAACCCTGGGGCGGCGCAATGAACGGTTTCAACCTGGAGGGGTGCACGTACCACCGACGCTTCCCCCACTTGACGCGTACACATTGCGGCCGCAAGACCTGTATGACCTCCACGGGCCCCTGCCACGGCCGCACCAGCTTCGACGAGGTCGCCAGTGGCACCTGGGGACAGTGCAACCATGCCCTGTCCCCCGGTTTCCATTGGAACACATGTGCCCTCCCCAGCCTAAGCCTCTCATTCGCCTTTTGGCGGAGCTCAGAATTTTGCACGGCCGCTTCCCGCGCCTCTGTTAATTTCCCGATGTTAAATTTAACGTGGTCGGACAATTTAGACATTGCCTGAGGCGCCGAGAGCTTCAGCTGAGTCGTCACAGGCGGGTTAGCCTCGCGGCCATACATTAAAAAGAAAGGTGAAAATCCGGTGGCCGCATGGGGAGCCATCCTGTAGGCTTGCAACACACCCGCAATGCGAAGGTCCCAATCTGTCTGGGATTCCGATACCTGCTGGGACAGCATGGACGTGATAGTCCGATGCAGCCGTTCCACCATCCCGTCAGTTTGTGGGTGATATGGGGAGGTCCGAATTTTCTCCGTACCCAAGAGGTCGCACACCTCGCGGAGGAGTTTCCCCGAAAAATTTTTACCCTGGTCAGTCAGCAGCCGTTCCGGAGCACCCTTGTCAAGGACGTAGCCCTGGACAAAGGCCTCCGCGACGGCTGCTGCCGACTGGTTGGCCAGGGGCCAGGCCATGGGCCATCTCGTGAAGTATTCGACCCCTGTCAATAAGTACCTATTTCCCCTGGGTGTAGCGGGAAATGGCCCGAGAATATCCAGAGCAACGAGCTCGTTAATCCGGGAAACCTTTATGGACTGCAGCGGAGGGTTGGACCCCCTCGCTGGTGGCTTCCGCTGCGCGCATTGAGTGCATGACCCCAGGAGATCCCCCACGTCCTTTGCCATGCCCGGCCAGAAGAAATCGAGCTGGAGCATGGCAAGGGTCTTGTGAATCCCCAAGTGCAGGAGCCGCTCATGCGCAGCCCACACCACTTTACCCCTCAATGCTGCAGGCACCACCAGCCGTTGGCGGCGGGATTTCCCATCCCAGTGCATTAAAAGCCCCTGGAACAACCCCCATGAGTCAACGTTCGCCGCCCCCTGACCAACCCCCCCGATGCGACAGCGCAGAGCGAGGAGGGAGGTGTCCTCCATTTGGAGGCGTCCCCACTCCGAAACGGACAACCCCAGCAAGGAATCCCTCCCTTCTTGCTCGATAGGACCCGAAGTTGAAGGCGCATCGGCGGCGGCCACAAGGACCGAATCCGTGGTCACGTTCGGGGGCC